CTACTCGGGAGGTTGAGGCAGAATTGCCTGAACCCAGGAGGCGGAGGTTGTGGTGAGCCGAGATCGCACCATTGCACTCCAGCCTGGGTAACAAGAGCGAAATTCCGTCTCAAAAAAAAAAAAAAAAAGAAAAAGAAAAAGAAGAAGGAGGAGAAACAAGAGGAAAATAATCATAGCTGACAGCCAGGGGAGGCTTGCATGTGAGGACCCATGCCGTTAAGTAGTTTCCATGCACCACTTTGGATAGCATACATAACTACGTAACATGCACACGTGATCAGCCTTGTGTTGCAGAAGGGGAAGATGAGTCCCAGAGAAGGGGACCCACTTGTTCAAGGTCACACAGATAACCGGTGGTATAGGCAGGACCCAAGCATCGGCCAGCTGACCCAAAGCTTTATGCTTAACCACTGGGATTTATATTTTCAAGCATTTTGGATTCAGGGATTGAAATAAATGAACACATGAAGTAAGTTGGCATAATTAAATATATTAGAACATATAAACCAAATTCTTTTCTTTCTGTTTTGTTTTAGAGACAAGGTCTTGCTCTGTCATCCAGGATGGAGTGCCTGGTGCCGTCATGGCTCACAGCAGCCTGCAGCTTCAAACTCCGGGATCAGGAGACACAGCTTCGGCCTCCTACGTAGCTGGGACTGCAGGCACACACCACCATACGTGGCTAATTAAAAAAAATTTAAATTCCTTTATATGTTTTTACTTTTGTTTATTTATTTTATTATTTTTTGAGACTGAGTCTCACTCTGTCTCCTAGGCTGGAGTACAGTAGCACGACCTCGGCTCACCGCCACATCTGCCTCCCAGGTTCACGCGATTCTCCTGCCTCAGCCTGCCGAGTAGCTGGGACTAGAGGCGCGCACGACCACACCCGGCTAATTTTTGTATTTTTAGTAGAGATGCGGTTTCACCATGTTGACCAGGCTGCTCCCGAACTCCTGACCTCAGGCGATCCACCCACCTCGGCCTCCCAAAGTGCTGGGATTACAGGCATGAGCTACTGCATCTGGCCTCCTTCTAATATCTTTATATGCAATCTCACTGGACTGCCCAGGCTGGCCTTGAGTCCCTGGCCTCACGTGATCCTCCTGCCTTGGCCACTCACAGAAGTGGAATTACAGGCATGAACCACTGCTCCTGGCCCAGTTGTTTTAAAAAGCAACAATCTTGAATTGTAATGTTTGCCAATTTTTGTAGTGCAAATACTCCCTCTATAGTTGATTTCAAGCTGTCAATGGTTTAGTACCCAGCTTGTAAAATTCCTGAATATTTAAAAACTGTCTCCCTCACCCGCTGGTTCCAGCACACCCCTGTCTGTAAACATGTAACGGAGAGAGTCTGATGTAGGTTTAGGACACGTGGCCTTGCGCTCTTGGGTCTCTTTACTTACATGGTGCCGTAGCATAATTCAACCATTTCGAGCTTCAATTTCCTTCCTCTGCTGCAAATCAAGAAAGTTGAAAAAATCAACTTTTACTTACTCACTTATTTTTTTTTTTTCAATGCACCCGAGGAAGGGTTTACATCATGTGAATTAATCAGGAAAAGCCAATATAGTATTTTATTTATTTATTTTTTTGAGATGGAGACTCACTCTGTTGCCCAGGCTGGAGAGCAGTGGCATAATCCTAGCTCACTGCAGCCTCCACCTGCCGGGGTCAAGTGATTCTCCAGCGCCGGCCTCCTGAGTAGCTGGGATTACAAGTGTGCACCACCAGGCCTGGCTGATTTTTTTATTTTTAGTAGAGACAGGTTTCACCATGTTCGTCAGGCTGTTCATGAACTGATCTCAAATGATCCATCCACCTTGGCCTCCCAAAGTGCTGTGATTACAGGTGTGAGCCACCGTGCTGGGCCCATAGTATTTCTTTTTAAATGTGAAAACGGGGAATCTGCTAGTAACTAAATAGGTCACTTTTAAGAAGAAACTTTAAGTTTAATGAAATTCAATACAAATAGTTATCTATTCCCCTTCCTACCCCCTAATCTTGTCTAGGGTTTTCTTTAACTTGCTTCCTTATTGGGTAATAGTTGGAACAGACACAGCCAAAGTCCCTTTGCAATTTCGCTTTGGAAGTATTTTGATTTTCTAAGGCAAAGGTGAGGATATTTAATATAATTCGTTTCCTATAATCCTATTTATTGTATTGCATATGCATATAAAAGTATTGTTGAAAAGTAATCCACAGACTTCTCAAGACTGCCAGAGAGTGTATGACCAAAAAAAAAAAAAAATCAGAATGGAGGGTTTAGGAGGGGAATGTCTTCCTTCCTTGGTGCTGAAGCGGGGAGATTTCTAGCAAAGGCAGTACAGCCGCCCTCCTCACTGGACTCTCTCTCAAAAGTGCAAAAGGAAAAGAAAATGTATACCTTATTCTTCTGAGTAAATATCTAGAATTAACTGAAATGTATTAGGCATATAGAGTTTTGATTGGCTTTGTTTTGCATGTTATCCATTTTTCCACCTCCCTCCTGTTGTTCTGAGATTGAGTCTCGCTCTGTCATCACACTGGAGTGCAGTGGCGTGATCTCAGTTCACTGCAACCTCCGCTTCCTGGGTTCAAGGATTCTCCTGCCTTAGCCTCCCGAGTAGCTGGAATTACAGGCACCTGCCACTACGCTCGGCTAATTTTTGTGTTTTTAGTAGAGACGGGGTTTCACCATGTTGGCCAGGCTGGTCTCAATCTCTTGACCTCATGAACTGCCCACCTTGGTTTCCTAAAGTGTTGAGATTACAGGTGTGAGCCACTGTGCCCGGCCTCCTTTTTTTTTTTTTTTTAATTCTTTGCTATATAGTCTTTAGATCAATGTTTATAGTTGAAAAATAACATGCTTTCCATTATGGGGAAGCAGGTGATTTTGAGATAATCTGTAATGAAAGAAAAGCTTTCCGTTCTCATGTTGGAGACTTGGATATCTCTTAACTTCTTTGTCTAACAGGAAGATGACTTTACATTCCCTCATTCCTGTAATGAATACTGTGGAGATCTGCCGCTTGCCAGCCAGATTGAAGGCTCTGGGGCCAGTGGGATAAATGTGTCATGCCCCTATGCCCCTGTCCTCAAAGAGCTCCCAAATTCACAGAGGAGGACATGAGGCGAACGAAACGTTATGACACAAGGCGGGCAAGGAGTGCTGTAAGACAAGAAGGAGCTGTGGGAGGGCGCACCTACTACACGTGGCTAGATTGTCCGCACTTATGGGTCTGTCACAGCTATTGAGGTTTTCTCTGTTAAAATTATTTTCTTTTTTTTGATTAATACAGAGTTTTATTTTATCTTATTTTATTTTAGATGGAGTTTCACTCTTGTTGCCCAGGCTGGAGTGCACTGGCATGATCTTGGCTTACAACAACCTCTGCCTCCCCAGCTCAAGCAATTCTCCAGCCTCAGCCTCCCAAGTAGCTAGGATTACAGGCGCCTGCCAACATGTCTGGATAATTTTTTTGTATTTTCAGTAGAGATGGGGTTTTGCCATGTTAGCCAAGCTGGTCTTGAACTCCTGACCTCAGGTGATCTGCCTGCCTCGGCCTCTCAAAGTGCTAGGATTACAGCGGTAAGTCGCCACACCGGGCCATTGATTACAGTAGTAAAGAATTTGTGTGTGTGTGTGTATGTGTGTGTGTGTGTGTGTGTGTGTTTCTTTTTGAGACAGAGTCTTGCTCTGTTGCCCAGGCTGGAGTGCAGTGGCACAATCTCGGCTTAGTGCAACCTCAGCCTCCTGAGTAGCTGGGATTACAGGGGCCCACTCCTACGCCCTGCAAATTTTTGTATTTTTAGTAGAGATGGGGTTTCACCATGTTGACCAGGATGCTCTCTATCTCTTGACCTGGTGATTGGCACACCTTGGCCTCCCAAAGTGCTGGGATTCCAGGTGTGAGCCACCGTGCTGCGCCATTGATGAGTAAAGCATTTTAACAGTAAAGGTAAGAATAGATAAATTGAATGGCTCTTTTTCATTTCTTTGTCCTCATGTTCTAACATAGAGTGTATCTGAATTTCCAAGCACATATTCACAGGTGCAAAAAAAAATAGCACGTGGCATTATTTCATCAGTGGTTCTTAATCTTGGATATATGGTAGAATATGGTACCTGCAAGTTTTCAAAAAATACCAAAGCTGGAGCTACTTTTTGGTGGGAAAGGACCTAAGAAGACTCAGAAGCAAAAATGAGATGCCCTCAAGGTGGGTGAGATGCTGTCAGAGTCTCTCCTGCCCCAGGGACCCAGACTGCCACCGTTCATGGCACATATTGGCTGTAGGGTCTTCCAGGCGGAACACTACCTATCAGCATTGGGAGATCAGCACCCTGGGCACAGAATCTGCCATACAATGAAGCAGGAGGCCTCCCTAGAAAAGCTCCTCACCCCTCAGAAATGCTTTCCTACCTTGAAAATTGACACTTGACATTTCACAGTTAGCCACACCTTTTCCAGAAGCTTTATTTGCTTCAAAAATAGAAATGTCTCTGAGGAATTACAATAAAACTTAGTGGTGATTTGTATCATTCCGGGCTCATTTCTTCATAGCAGGTTTTGAAAGGGGTTAGCAAGGCAAGTTTATGAGACTACTGGAGTCTACTAATGAGCATTGAAAAGGATGCCAGAAGAGAAGTCTGCATTTGGCACTTCTGAGCATTGGTCTGCAGCTCACCCTAAAAGTCCCTCATATAATAATATCATTTAATGCTCTTTGTAATCCTATCATTATACGGATGATGCTTTTTCTTCAATGTATCTAGTTTTTTTTTCAAGATGGTATCTTGCTCTGTCACCCAGGCTGGAGTGCAATGACACGATCTCGGCTCACTGCAACCTCAGCCACCTGGGTTCAAGCGATTCTCCTGCCTCAGCCTCCTGAGTAGCTGGGATTATAGGCGCCTGCCACCACGCCCAGTGAATTTTTTGTATTTTTAGTAGAGATGGGGTTTCACCATGTGGGTCAGGGTCTCAAATTCCTGGCCTCGTGATCTGCCTGCCCTGGCCTCCAAAAATGCTGGGATTACAGACATGAGCCACCACGCCCGGCCTTTCTTCTAGTTTTGACGTCTCTGCTGTCTAGAAACGTTTTCATGTCAAAAGTTCACATCGTTCATTCATATCAAAAGAACCCAATGAGATACAGACAGAAAAACTACAATTTATATGGCAGAAGTGGGACAAATCACTGAGATCCCTTACAAAGTGAGTGGTGCAGGCCAGGGTGGTGCTTCTCGTATGCTCTTCATACAACATGGTATGGATCGTTCTGGCTTAGAAACGTAAGCTCCTGTCCTCAAAGAGGCTGGTCATGGATGGTTCTGTAGGGCACGCGGCACATTCTGAGTGCTCTGTGAATGTTGAGGCTATGAGGTAGTCTTCAGAGGATGTCTCCTCCGAGGAAGGTGCTACACAAATACTAGTATTACTGTTCTTTTAGCACAAATTTACAATTGACTTTCTGTTAAACATTGCGGCAAGTTAAATCAATTCAGTATGATTATAGTCATTAAACAAATGCCTGGTAATGACTGCCTTCTTATTTTAGCAGTTTCTCAAACCACGGGGTAATGCCCTATCAGGCTTTTCTGCATCGTCAGATTAATTGGGTTGTACAACCTGCGTTTCAAGAGAGAGCATACACACTGCTGTACAGGAACCGGACCGTGGTTTAAGACCAGTGCCGAACTAACTTACCTTCGAGTTTTCCCTATGGCTCTTGCCATTCTGTTAGGTGCAATTGACCAGTCCATCACAGCCTACAAGTAGTTTAAGGCCATTTCTACCTGTTAAAAAACAAGTGTGCTTTTCGAACCAAAATGTGGGCAGGAATTCTCCCAAAATCATTCTTGCAAAGCTGAAACCAGCCAAAGCGAGATGGGCAGTGACGGCTTTCTTTCACCTGTGCTCGCATGGGGACGGTCGCCCTAAGTACCTGCCATCTTAGCAAGTGGGAAAGAAATAGTTAAGTCCAGAAGGCTGTGAGTTAAAAACGCTGTCTGACAGAAAAGCACATAAGATGTCCCTGCCAGGTGGAGATGGAGGAAGACCGCACCCCTGAAGCCACTCTTTGCATTGAAGGTCATCTGTCTGGTGCCACCCTAGAAACTGGTCCGCTTCTGCAGAGGACATTGAATGATGACATCCCGCAAGTCGGCTGACTGCTGTGTCAGAGCTGCTGCTGCTTTCTGCATTATCTCGACTGCCAGCTCCAGCTCCTGCAGCTTCCCAGTCGCAATGCAGCAAAGCAGGGGCGTGCACGAAGCAACAGAGTTGCAAAGTTTTCTTCTCCTGCTACTACTTAGGGTACCTTATGTGAGGAGTATTTACCTTTGTTTAGCCAGGAGCAGAGATGCAGCCTGAATGTACGTGATGGCTTCTAACTTGGCAGCGTGAATTTTCAGCTGAGCAGGTACTGCTCCGAGCCCTGTAACCAAACTGCCTCTGAAGGAGCACAGCTGGTTTCTCACCACGTGTGTGAATAGTTTGGGGGCTGCTTGTGCCACACTGCTCTACCTGCGGGAATAAAGGCTAGGACAAAGGAGAGGATGTGGTTTGTCTGGCTGGGGCCTGTGCGAACGACTCACCGCACTGATGCTGTGTGACTCCCCAGCTTACATTTAAGGCTGGTCGCCAGGCTGGCGCAGATCCCCACTCCTCAGTTAGGGCACGGTTTAAAGGAGAAACCAGGCTCCCTGACCTAAATCACTCCCAGTCCTCTCTGGATGCGGGACAGCTGCCGACTAGCAGTGACACAGCCAGCCATCAAGTGGAGAATCCTTGCGACTGCAGTTTGTGTGCAGGTGGAGCCCGGGAGAATGACGGTCTAATTTCGGTCATCCAATGGCTTTTTCTTATTTTCCTAAATAATCGTGCTCTCTAAGTATACAGTTGTCTGGATTAGCCTGGCTGCCATGCAATCTCATCAACTCTGGCTGGAAATCAGGGTGCCAGGCAAGCCGCCTTTAGCCCCAGCTCCTTTCTGCGTGATGCTGTGCAGCTAGGATGGGTCACGCTGACAGCAAAGGAGGCAGAAAGCACCGCTTTATCTTCTCTTGTGATATTAGCAGAACATAACTCTTCTTCACAGTGATGACCTCCTGCATGTGTGTGTGTGTGTGTGTGTGTGTGCGCGCGCATGTGTGTGTATTTTAATTCATCTAATCGAAGAGCCTAACATATCATCATGGATGTGGTTTTTAATGATTTGGAAAAAAAAAAAAAGCCTGTGGAGACAGCGATTCGAAACAGTGGCACCTTTAGGTTATTGCCAATTTGAAATACTTGGTTTGTGAAGCTAAGCCCTAAGGGACGAGCTCGGTAACTGAGGAAGAGATCGTAGATAAAGAAATAAAAATGACAAGCGTAATGGAGGCTCTGCGAAGGGACTGTCAGAGCATCAGTTCACGGATGGCAATTTCACCAGGCTGAGACTGAATAATTCATAGATTGAAATTACCCTGCTTTCACCTTTCCATTTAAACTGGCATGATCTGAATCTCTAATAAATTTTCAAGATAAAGTAAAATGCCAATTTGAATCTGAAGAGCTTTTGAAACCAGATGCTGCATCCCTGAATCTTTCGGTATCTTTCACAATTATCCTATGAGAACAGTACTTCATCACGAAGCACCATTACCAGGGAAATTACTGTGATTACAATAGCAACAATAGAACACCATCAAATGATCTCTAATTTACCTAATTTGCTAAGACTGACTGTGTGGTTTTGATATCCATTGTATGTCACTATGCCCGGCACCCGTGAAGCTATCTCACGCTGGAACAAAAGTGGCATCCTGTGTGTGTATGTGTGTGTGTGTGTGTGCGTGTGTGTGTGCGCGCGCCCACCCTGCTACCTTAACTCTGAAAGCCTAGCAAAGAATATTCTCCTAGGTTACAGTATTTCTTTCCTTTGGTTCGCATTTTTTCCAATGCCTGTACCCCAAATGTGTTTGGGGAAATGGAGAACCTGTCATAGACTGGGGGACTGTTTTTTGATACAGAAGATCATTGATTTGTTAATTTATATACCCTCTTTATTTTAATGTATACGAGCATGTGTTTACTAAAAGGGAGGACGGATGCCGTTCTGGGAGAGTAGTTTTAAAATGCAGCCGAGATGCAGTGTATGTGTTTGTTTCTTCTTTGAAACCCCTGTCTGTCTCTTTCAGGTTAGAAATCCCTTCAGGGAACTGCAGACCTGGTGTGATGTGTTAGAAACCTCTGAGACTGCAGAGAAGCTCAGGAGATACAATCAGTAATAGCTCTGTGCAGCTTTTATTAAAAGCATGCATGTTCAATTCAGTGATTAAATGAAGCGTGGGTACCACATTGGCTGTGTTTGTGTCTGCTCACTCTGGAGGAGAAGTCTGTACTAAAGAGAACTTTTTGGGACAGGCTGCATGGTTCATCTCAGGGTAATTGTGCCATCCTGAGAAGGTGGCATGGATCATAAATCCTCACTGGAGAACAGACTGGAATCATTTATAGGCACAATAGCTTCTGGAATTTTACTTTCAATATAGTATGAAGGTAGTATGTGGGTTTCTGCTAGTCAAGTGATTTAAGTATGATTATCTAAGGCAAGGTTTTGGAGTCGTGACAACCATTTGGGAGGAAGGTAGGTTTGAAACACACCTTTCTAATGTTCTGGGGTTTTTACTGGAGATCCTTAGCTCTGATACGTTCCTTAATCCATGATCACAGCTTGACCCCTCTCTGTATCCTGTGACCCAACATGTACCTTTGGCAGAGCAGGTAAGTTGTGTTTCTCATCATTTGTATAACTGAATATGTTTTTCATTGTGTGCTTGCAGCAAAAACATGCTCTTCTGTGTTATCCTTTCTTTCTGCTTATTGTTACTTTCTGCTTATTGTTATTCTCACTATGCTTGAGATAAGTCCCAACGTTCTTCCCTTGTGTTTTTCTAATTACAAATAAAAACGTCATATTTTAAAAAGCGATTTAGATATAGTTTTTGTTCCCTTTATCTAACTAAATACATTCAAGGTTTTAATGCTTTTCAAGAAGAAGGGGAAAACAGTTTTACTTAGTGAATAATTTGTTTAAAAATAGTAAGCAATTCATTAGATATCAGTTACGTTACCATATTGTTTTTTTTTAGATAGCTCACATTTCTAATACTGAACCCATTATTCTTATCTTTCAAGAAAGAGGTTTGACTGGTAGTGACAAAGGACTTTTCAAAAGCCCACACCGTCTATGTGCTAAAGTGGTTTTCTTTTTTAATTATTAAAATATAGTCTGGATATTCTGCAAAGGGTTTTTAATTTCTAGCATTTTAAAGCTGTTCAGTAGTCGAAGTTTGAACAGGGTAATCATTGTTTGAGCAGATCGGTTTATATGTCTGATGTTTAAGTAACAAAGGAATCCTAAGATCATATAAGAATACTTTCTAATCAGACTTCTGTCAGTTTCTTGAGTTTCATTAGAAACTAATGATATTCACTTGATAAAAATGGGAAATTTGAGGCTTATCATTTGATCATTCAGGTATTTATAGTCTTGGAAAATGTCTTGTTTCTTTAGGATGCAAGTGCCAGAATATTTGTCTTTTATGTAAAATATGAGCAAGAGTTTATTGCATGTTAGTGTTTGATATAGAAATTCACTTGTTTTGCCATAAAAAAGATAAGATCCATTATATGGAGCAGCTAACTTAAAAATCTTAACTCCATTGTTTCTTTGAAATCAATTTTTCTTTTCAAGTAATTGAACATAAATGAACATAAAACTTTAAAATACATTCATTAGATAAGTTTTAATCCATTATTGAGAATATTTTTACTATTTATGGATCTATCTTACTTACAGTGCTCTGGATAAGCAAGACAGGTGAAAAAGACATAGAATAATTTTACATTTGCAGGTAATTTGAAAAGAAAGAAACAACTGTGAAAGTATACCAGCATGGGTTAATTTAGGTGAAATCTTAGACAGTCATGGGTTAACATTATTTTGAAAGGTTTTTTTTGTGTGTGTCGGGGGGAATGAGAAAAATAGGTAAAAAATGCTCCCCTCCTCTTTACTTCTGAAAACTCTCAATCACTCTGGAACATCAGCTGCTGTTACAAAAAGTGATTTAAAATTTAAACACACAGTAACGCATGCTTAGAGTCCACAAAAATGTGTTATGCTTTAGATAGAATGAGTAACAGTGGCAGCTAACAACTGCAGTCACTTCTGGATATTAGTGTATTTTATTTTACCTCGTTGTTAGCATGGGACAAAAATCTAAACTAAAATGCTATAGTGAAAAAATGCATTTTTACATATAACCAAATAGGATATTCACAGCTGATAATCACAGTTGGACTTCTCCAATTAACATATTCTACAGGAACAATGGCATAGTGTATTTTCCCCTAAGTTTTAAGCAAGTAGTAATAAAACACCCCTTTACAAGTACCAATATGTGTGCTATGCTCGTCTACCAAAGAGAGAAAGGCAGGCAAGACAAAAGAAACAGGTAAAGATAAAATAAGCACTCTGTATTCAGTGAGCCTTTTTATTTTTAATGGCATAATCCAAAAAGGTTGGTTATGTTATGTCTGGGTACCATCTTTTTAAAGAACCTCTTCTCTCTAGTAAGATTTTTCCCCAACATTTCATTATACATTTATGTGAACATACAAAAAAGTTAAAAAATTGTGAGCACCTGTACACAAACCACCTCGACTCTATGATGACACTGCATTGTGTCTGTTCTGTCACATGGCTATCCAACTATCCACCCATCAAGCCATCTTATTCTTTTGATGCACTTACAAGTAAGCTGCGGACATCAGTACCCTTCACTCCTAAGGATATGCCTGCTGAAGTGTTTAACTAGAATTCAACATTTGCTTACAGTTCTTACCTCTATGTAAGATTTGTATGTGTACAGTGAGGACCCAATTTTGGACAAGTGCACTGTTGTATTTTATATGACATAATCTATCTCTTTAACATCATGAGTGGCTGGATGCAAACTCTCATGATTCTATATTTTAACTTGGAAGGTACAAATCCTCATTTATAAGGGAAACCGCTTATGGTGAAGTTAAGTGGGTCTTCCCCATCTTCAGTTGCTATGTGTCCCCCAACTCAGCCTTCACTCACCATGCCCAGGGACCACTGGTGACTCACCATCAGTTTTGGGATGGAGGAGGTGTCCAGGCATACAAAAGTAATTCCCAGGGTCTATTCTTGTTCTTGGAGCACCTTTCCTTTCTCTCTCCTGCAGTTGCATGAGAAGTAACTCATTGGCCTCTAGACCAATCAGGAGCTTCCATTCTACCTGGATTCTTCTCTGCTTTCTCCCCAACTCTTTTCACTTGCCTTCCCCTCTTTCACTTTCTCCCTACTCCCACCTTTTCTTCTAGAAACAAAGGAACAGATCTCTTCATTTTCAAGTCGTTCTCCTGTACTCAGTTTCATGGATGCAAAGATGAGGGATTTAAATAATCACAAGAACTCTTAAAGGGATTAGTTTCTCTTGGTCTTAATTAAAACATAAATGAGTTGAGAATTGTCCTCTCGAGACCTCTTCACTAATTCATCTCTTGGGTCCAGTCATGTGAATGAGATTTACTCATTCACCTTTTTTTTTTTTTTTTTTGAGATGGAGTCTCACTCTTGCTGCCCAGGCTGGACTGCAATGGCGCGATCTCAGCTCACTGCAACCTTCGCCTCCTGGCTTCCTGCGATTCTCCTGCCTCAGCCTCCTGAGTAGCTGGGACTACAAGTGCCTGCCACCATGCCCAGCTAATTTTGGTACTTTTTACTAATAGAGACAGGATTTCACCATGTTGGCCAGGATAGTCTTGATTTCTTGACCTCGTGATCCACCTGCCTTGGCCTCCCAAAGTGCTGGGATTACAGGTGTGAGCCATCGCGCCCGGCCCTACTCATTCATCTTTTAACTGAACCCTACACCAAGCCTCTTGAAGATTTGAGTTTGTGTAGCTCTGAAGAATGGGAGTATTTTCTATGCTTCCAAAATCTGCTAAGTTTCATAGACTGCAGCTTCCTGTCATTAGCCGTGGGCCATGGCACTTCCATTCAGGAGCACCACAAGCCCTTATGCCCTTGGTCTTTGGCCCCCCAGGACGTGGAAGTTTCCGAAGCCTTCATCCCTGGGTTTTGGTCTGCTTACCCAAGGCAGTCACCTTCCAGGTGGCTTTTCACTCAGGCCATTTTTCTTTACTCTCTTAGCCATGCCTAAAGTTTTCATTGGATGGATAACCATGAGTCTAACCTTAGCTGGAATTCTACCAATTTGCCTATTTTTATAAAGCAGTAACTGGATATGACAGATTTTAGGCTCTGTAGTAAGACAAACCTGAATTGTAGTTGCAGTTTTGCAACTTAAACTAGTAGTATTACTCCAGGCAAGTCATGGAATCATTTTAAGCTTCACTTCTTCAGAAGGTTGTTATGAATATTAGATATCACACACACACACACGAATATATGACCAAATTTTGGAAAAATGCACTGTTTTGTGTGTTTGCATGTGTGTGTGTGTATACAGTACACTCACACATAGCAAGTATATATCACAATGTCTAGCACATATATGCATCACAATGGAGCACCTGACTGGTACTTGTGATGTATTAGTGTCATTATAAATCATCACCATCATGATCTCAACAGAAGGCGCCATCATCCCTGAGCTCAGCTGGCCCTCCATCAATCACAGTCATCTTCTGGATCCTAGCAGACTACTCTCTCCTATGTCTAAATTTGCTTATCCTAAGGGACCTCCCATTAAAGTTCACTTTTTTCAAGGTCTGAAATTATCCCCAGCTTTCAGCTCATGGCGGGGCCGATGTGTGACTGTATTTGATAATTTTCTCAATTAGATTTGCAAATGAAAATTCAGGGGACAAAAAGATAAAGAGATTTCAGAAGTACAGTGAAGTACTATGCCTGGGGCTGCCCAGGTGTTTTACACACAATAAATTATTGACGTGTAAATGTCATTTAATCCAGCATAACAATACGGAGGTCAGTATCATGGCATCTGAAACCAAAGTTGGTAATCTAATTCTGACTGTGTTGCTTACTATCTGTTTGACCTTGGATGAATTTCTGACTCTTCTTTGTTTCTCAGTTTTTTTATACATATAAATTTTCTTATACATAGAAAGTAAGGATAATGAATGATACCTTTCTCATAGGGTAGAACTGAGGATTAACTTACTTAAGATCTGCAAAAACCTAGAAGAGTGTCTGGCACATAGTGAAGCTATGGAAGCATTTGTTAAATAACAAAGTATAAATGAAAGGTGGACAAAGCAATCTTTGGGTAAAGATGACTTGAGCAGCCAAGCGTGGTGGCTCACGCCTATATTCCCAGCACTTTGGGAGGCTGAGGCGGGCAGATCACCTGAGGTTAGGAGCTAGAGACCAGCCTGACCAACGTGGAGAAACCCCATTTCTACTAAAAATACAAAATGAGCCAGTCGTGGCGGCGCATGCCTGTAATCCCAGCTACTCAGGAGGCTGAGGCAGGAGAATCGCTTGATCCTGGGAGGCGGAGGTTTCAGTGAGCTGAGATCACGCCATTGCACTCCAGCCTGGACAACAAGAGTGAAACTCCATCTCAAAAAAATAAAAAGATTACTTGAGTAAAGTCATCCAGAGAGGTTTTCAACTGGTTCAAAATCACACAGCAAATTAGTAAAGGGTCCACCATTCAACACAGATATTCAAACATTAGGCCTGTTTCTGAACATTACGCACTGCT